TGCTTACAGTAAATGAAATGACAACATATTTTATATTTACAACAGCATTACGTCACAACGTATTTTCATTGTTGAATGATTGGTTTTGTGGTTTTGCCATCATTAATGTTTTTCATCTGCCTTTTAGAAGTTCAGGGGAGGTCTAGATATTTATTGTGAAACATTGTTATGCATATTTACACACATTGTTAGTACTGCGTAAATATGTTTAATCATCTTGGTAAAATGTTCTATCTCTGTGTCACAAACCTGAATTGTAATTGTAGATTTCTTTGCTTGTAGTCAATCAAAGATTTTAATCTGAAAAGGAATCAGGATTATGGGGGAAAGGCAGGAAAGTAGAGTTGAAGATTAACAGATCATCAGAGGATTATTAGCCATGGTCACATTGAATGGTGGAGCAGATTTGATGGACTGAATGGTCTACTTCTGCTCCAATAACTTATGGTCTTAAACGTTTGCTGAAAATGTTTGCAAAGATATTTATTTGTCATCAACAGTAATCATTACTGAGTAAAAACTTTGACTAAGAAATTTGTTTTTAAATTTAAATTAGCTTTCATCGCTTGCTGATACATGTTAGTCGGTACGTCCACATCTGCTCAGTTATGATTTGTGATTGCTTTATGAAATTGATCCAATCAGATTCAAGAATTGTTTAGCCACTTATACATTTAATTGATAAATCAGTATTCTTTTATGTTGAAGGAGACTTAGGGAGACAGCATCCTTCACCATGAAGTCTGACCAGTAGCCCCATTGCTGAATGAGCCCACCTGAACGTAACCACCAGACTGAAGGTGATGGTGAAAGAACTGACATGAGAGAGAAACTAACTTGACTGCTCCAATCTACTCTTTGCAGACATATGGTCTACTGTAGCATTATTTGGAGTGATCATTGAATAAGTCATATGATGGTGAAGTCATGTCTTCACCTTCTATTGTGTTTTGCAGCACCACGCAGACTGACTATAGACAGGTCTAGCGAAGCACACAAGCAGCATCAGTATTGTATGCTACTACTTGTAACTTCATAATTAAACATATTCTTCAGTTCACTCTCACCACCCAATTCAATGCTTACTAAGTAATATGTACTAGGAGCAGCACCAGGCTTAGAATGACACACCAACCTAGTGAAACTGCAATACAGAGCTACCTCAGTGGCCAAGTACCAAAAGCAACAAATTACAAATACAGTTATGCTGTCCCAAAATTGGTGGATCTGAGAAAATGTTTGCAGCCTGAACACTTCTACTCAAGAACGGTGTGAACAATAGTGGAATTAATAGAGAAGAAAGATCCATGAAAAGCCCTCAATTTAAAACAAGATGAAGTTCTTAATGTCAGAAGAATTGCATGCAAGAACATTAACAATGCTAAATAGAAAAGTTCAACTTCCCCATTTCCAAGCTTCCTAATATCAGTCATTCCCAGTTCTCAGCTAATTCAGTTCATGTCATGCTGTATTGAAGGCCACAGACCTTGATGACCTACCATTGTCATCCAGAGGATCTATGCACCTGAACTAGCAATCCTTTCTTGACAAACCAATCCATTAAAGTTTTGACAATAACATCTGGTCAGTAAGGTATAAAATTGTTCAAATATGTACTATCCAACAAAGTGTGACAAAGTAAATTCCCACACACTGTTGATTCCACTCTCAGTCATCAGCAGGGTGGCAAACAGAGCCACTGACAATGGCATCTATTATCAATAACCTATTTGGTGATGTTCAATGTGTGGTTCTACCAGAACCACTGAGATCCAGATTTCATCACAATCTGAATCTTGAAAGGGCTGCAAATATCAGGAGAACTGAAAGTTGCTGATCATGTCATCGAGATAGCATTCAATCAAAGAATTCCCTAAAATTAAGCTCAGAGTCTGGAGGTATGCCCGATATAAAGGAAAATGGTAATGGTTATTGAAGACCAATCATTATCCCCTCTGGAATTCATCAGGCAAATGTTCTCAAAGCAATCAAGTATCATTGATACTTCCTCCATCATATTGTCTCTGACAGTTCTATGGCTGTCCTGTTTGTTTACAACTCTATCAATATTGAATCACTGGTGGCTGCACACTAGACAATATCCTGACCTGGGCTGGCAAATGATAAGCAGCATTTGTGGCACACAAGTACTAAGCTTGTCCATTTCCAACCACAAAATGATACATTGGCCTCTTGTAACCAAGACTGGAACACATGATTTAAAGACAGGTGGCAGAATTTGTGATAGAACTGGCTTCTTTCGATATTGGAGGACGGTTTAGCCTGGATTTGTAACAGTTGATGGGAAAATAAGTTACGTTTTACCCGTATGGCAAAGCAACTTTGTCTTGCAGAATTTAAGGTCTGTTACCCTGAGTGTGCTATAACATTCAAGCCCTATATATCTGGACAGAAACAGGCAAGACTGAGGACGGTGTCGATTCACACCGTGTATTTAACAGAAAGCCAAAATTCTTGAGTGTAAAATTGTAGAATAAATAATCTTCAAAAATCCAGCAATCTGTTTAAAAAATACCCAGCAGACTTTTTTTTCCATAAGTAGGAAAACAAAGGCTCGTAACCTCTTTCGGAGTAACAGCACACTGTAGCGATGTAAGTGAGAATGTAATTCCCGCTGTAACTCCCGCACAACCAGAGTACGAGTCCCCTTGTACCAGACTGATATGCAGCACTAGAGAAAAAAAAACATCCAGGTGCCCTCGGGAATGGGGTGGAGCCTGAGAAAAAGGTAAGAACGTCTTCTGTTTTGTTCACTGGGTTTCTACTTGTCACGGAAAGCGGGCGATTGATCGTGTGGCGAAATGTTGCAACGGAGACACTGAGTGCTTTTAAGAGCTGTGTAAAGAGGTTAGCTGAAGCGTCCTCGGCAAAAGCAGGAACTCTCTCAACCTGCACAAAACTCCTTCAACCCACCTCCCCCCTCCCCCAGAAGTTAGTAAGAAATAAATCAAGTCGAGGCTGATTGAGAGGGAACAGGGAAGGGCTAAATGGTCACTAGGTGAAAGTGGTGTGGAGCCAGGCAAGTGCCTTTGACGTTAGTTACTGTTTAACATCTCCACCCACTTTGGAGTTGATTCAAGGATCGAGGCAGTGACAGGTTAGCAGGGCCCCGGCGCCTGGGACTGAACTACACTGAGCAGATGGGAAGGGCGCACCTTGCTGCTGGCTTGGAGCTGAGCTGAGGGTTGGGGAAGTAAGCTGGGTGTATCCTTGCGTGGCCCGGGGGCGATGACAACAAGCAGAGGGGCTGCGGTTTAAAGAAAAGGTAAGAATCAGCAAGCTGTTTTATCCATCAGTCCTTCCCCCTCCCTGTACCTTATGGTGTGAGATAGCTAAACAACAGCTAGCACACGTGATGGCAACTTCCCCCCCACCCCAACAACTCTCAACTTCTTGTACTTCGAACTGTTCTTTTGTGTCCCAGTTTATTACTTCTGAATTTTGAGAATTCTTGCAAGTACTGGGGTGTGTTGTGGGGGGGGGGTGCGTTTTTCTTAAGAAATATCTTTTTCTAGTTCTTTTCTTTAGTCATCCCTTGGTGACCTTAAAAAAAATCATTTTCAGTATGTGTGAGGAGTTTTGATTTGTGAGGTTTGCTGGCAGTGGGGAGGGGGGGGGGGGAATCCATCAGATTGGTCGGACGCAAACTGGCTACATGATACGGATTGTTAGTAAACATGACCCGAGGTTGTCAGCTGTAATGAAATGGCATTTATATCAAGCAACGAGCTGGGATTTCGTTACCAGGGTACGGATTCTTTGCGCTCTGGCTTCAGAAATGTATTGTTTTGCGATGTGAATTAGGCGTTGTTCAAATTAAATGTCGCTTTTGTAAATAAAGTTGTTACCCTGATTAACTATAGTGGGATCTCTTCAGCCTTCGATTTAATCTCTCAGTTACTTTATGGTAAGTTCTGAACGTGATACGGGGAAAAGATGAGAAAACCGTGCAACAATTTACAGTAAGGCAAACCCATATTTACTCACCCAGTTCAAACATTTATGTAAATAATGAGCCAAATTTCCGTTGTCTTAGAGTTTCTGACTGTTAGCAGTTTGATGTGCCAGGAGACCTCGTTCATTGATTCCCACCTGTCTCTGAAATAACCCAAAGCGCATATTTACTCGGTGCAGTATCAGTTTTTTTTTTAAAAATGTTCTGGTGGACTGCAGCAATGTTTTACGTTAATTGCGACAAAGGTGACAACGTGGAAGAGATGTGGGCATTTTCAAAACGCTACTCCAAACGAAAGCGACTTTTCAAACTTTTCCAAATGCAACGCGCCATCTGCACGTCAGGGCGACCACTTGCTTTCTCGTATCAAACTAGATTCTGTACAGTTACGACTGAAAACAAATAGTACAAATGGCAAATCGTCTCAGTTTTGTTGCTAACGTATGACCTGCAGTAGTAATAAGCGTGGTCAAAGCGAAATATCTATTTAATAGATGAAGTTATCCATTTCTCATTGTACGTATACAGAAGGAAGTGTCAGACTATGTATAAAACATTTAACAATAACTGGTATAACACCATCATAACTGGTTTATTTCGGACGTTGTTTTACAAGTACTTGCCGATTCTAGCAACTCATAAGCGATTGATGTTTTGTCATTTTGTGACATATGCAGAATTTGTTTTGGGAACCAAAATTCTGATATATGTTAAATAATGCAAAAATGCCAAGATAGCACATTCATCTTCATTGCAATGTTTTCATGCTCCATAAGGATGAAGATTACCTTTGGTAGATTCTGGTAATGTACAAGTTAGCCATTCCTATAAAAAAAAGGATGGCATGATGACATAGACAGCTGGATCCCCCTACCCCTGCATTGTGTAAAGTTTCGGAATTTATGCCAGTCTTTCAAAGCCCCCTTCCCCCACCTTCACGACAGCCAAATGTTTCTATTTGACCTCACATAGTTAAATGTTTGCAGCCTTTCAGTGGGAGTAAGTCAGATTAGTCAGACATGTCGACTATCCCCTCATTGGCACACCCTAGATTTGTATTTCTACAGATTTCCTAGGAGACTGTTAACACCGGGTGATGTGCTACAAAATATTCTAAGCTGCCTTTTCAACAATACACTCATACAATTGCTGTGCTGTGCTGAGTGTTGTGAGTGACCCAGACAACCACATAGAAAACAAATGAAACAGGCAAGATTATTTGCATAGAAAAGATTAACCAGTATTTTAATTAAAAAATACACTCAGCAGTAGTGTGGCAGTAGCTGCATGGTACAAATTCTGGCTTTGACTTGGAAAGTTATCAAAAAGAAACTAAATGTTTCCATTTTTGGATCAGCATGTTAGTACCAAAGACTAAATGTTGTGAGAAATAATTCATTAACGTTTGGTGACATTGTCACTCCTGGAATGTCTCTTGCATGGTTGTAATACCTTAACTTGCCAAATTTGCTTTAGATTAACAGAATGTAAGCATAAAGAATGATGCATTGCATTTGATTCTCACGTTATTCATAACAGGGTACGTACATAAGCAGAGTAAAGCAGGAAAATCTAGCCAGTAACAGTTACTTCAGTAAACAGTGGGGAGTCACCAGTGTTGCAGAAAGCTGAGTCCTTTTACATCCTTCAGTGACAAGAATTCATTAGCGCAAGTGTATATTTGAAATTTTGGTGCTGATTTGTATTGAGATATTGCCCAGGATGACTGGTGCCAAGTATAGAATCGAGGACAGCTTATACATGATCCCTCCAAGTTGACAAATATCAAGTTAATAGCATGGCACTCCTTGTCAAGCAAGAACTTTAACTTAAAGGTCCTGGTTCAAATCTAGCTAAAGCAACAGTAGTATTAGTGTGCAGTATCTTTTACACTGTTCTCCCTCTGAGATAGATAGTTCCTAAGTGACTTGTTAAAGCTTCTCAAATCACAACCCAATGTGAATTTATCAAAGGATTCTTGTTTTATTTCCTCAGATCCAAATGAAGGGCTTGATAACAGTTGGCAACTTGCACAGGCAGTCTAGTATCTTCAACATATCTGTTATGAAGGCAGTGTTAATGAGGCATTTTAGTTATAAGTCATGTCTATACGAAAAGGAAATTATGTCTGCCAAATGTGCTATTAGTTTTTAAGGGTTCAGTTAACAAAATATATAAAGGGAAACTAGTGGATGTGGCATCTCTGGTTTTTCAAAAAAATACATTCAATAAGATGCCACGACAAAGGTAATTATACAAAATTAGGGCTCACGGGCTTGGAGATAACATTAGCATGGATAAGTACTGAATAAGAAATGTTTGGAGGGATAGGGACCAAGCGCAGGCAGGTGGGGTTAGTCTAGTTTGGGATTATGATCGGCATGGTCTGGTTGGACCTTGCTGTATGACTCTATGACTATGACTGTGATAGATACACAGCACAGAGTAGCAACAAAGTCCTGGAGACTGCCAGTTCTGAAGAAGGGTCACTGGACCCGAAATGTTAACTCTGCTTTCTCTCCACATGCTGCCAGACCTGCTGAGTTTTTCCAGCAATTTCTGATTTTGTAGCAATACACAGGACACTTTCAAGTTAGCATGAAAATTTGGAGCCTTAGCTATTTGCAATTTTTTAATGAGTTAAATAGTGATACCAAGAATAATGTATCCAAATTTGTTGATAATACAAAGTTATATAGGACAGTAAACTGCGAGGAGGACACAAAACTGCTGCAGTTTAAGAGAATGAACAGAATGCTGAAAGATAGAGAATAATGTGGGGAAATATGAGGCTATTCACTTTGCTATGAAGGGTAGAAAAACAAACTATTTAAAATGGTGAGAACCCATTTAGTGTTGATCTATAAAGAAACTCAAACCTCTGAGAACAAAGATCACAGTAAGTTAATGTGCGAGTGTGACAATGAAATTGGGAAGACAAATGTTGTCCTTCATTTCAAGAAGATTGCAGTACACAAATAGGACAATCTTGCTGCAATTGAACAGGTTTTTGGTGAGACTATAGCTGAAATATTGCATGTAGTTTTGGTCTTCATTTTTAAGTAAAGACATCCATGTTTTTGAAGCAATACTGGAAATGTTCAGTAGTATTGATTCCTCTGATGACAGCATTGGTCTCAGAGGAGAGGTTGAGGAAAATGTGACTTTAACAAGTTTTCTTAATTACCCAACTTTGCAGTTAATTGTTACCTATCACTTTCTTTTTCATTGGACAGGAAGTCTTGGCCAAACACGGCCCATGGCTTGACATTGGGATTGGAGCCACACATTGGCATAGCAGCTGGTCGTGACAAATTGTTGGTGTGCTTGTCTCTAATTCAGACTCTAACCTTGATCGCAAAGATGGTTCATTGTTTCCTTGACCTGAGGTTCCAGAAAACAGGGGAATTGCCTCAGGACAGGGGGTTGATCATGTGAAACTGAGATGAGAAACTCCTTCATGCAGAGAATTGTGAAAATCTGGAATTCTGTATTGCAGAGGGTTGTGAATGATCATGTTCTATTTCCTGCAGTTCTTATTTTCTTTGGGAGGGTATCTAAAGTATCAATAAAATCCCTAAAAGGCAGGTAGATTCGGGAAACTAAGATAATTAGGGATCTTCACCTGAGTTATGCAGCTGGAGACTATGGAACACATTGCCTGATTAATCCGAGCCTCTGGACTGGGCCAGCAAAGACACAACAGAGTGAATAAGAGTGTGGTTATTGTTGTGATGACTTCAGAACTGGTAAAGGTTCAAGGCCCTGAATTAGTATATCTCTAGCTACAGAAAGACAAATGAGATCTCTGTGAGGATAAGTAGTAATGAGTTACTTGACTAGTGTATTTTTATACCAAATTTCCAAATAACAGAGTGGATTAATGTCACCCACAAGCTCACATACCACCAGCAGTGGTCACTGGCCCCAATGTGGAATACATGATTTGGTTCTTGAGTAGACAGCCATAAAACAGAGAGCATCCTTTGAAAATTCAGTCAAACCCTTGCATTGTTCACCAGCTATTAACTTGTTTGTAGTATATCAATCCCTCTCACAATATGGAAAATCAAATCTGGTTGGGCCATGAATGTTTTAAAAAGATATGTTCAGGACTCATTGGCTTCATCACTACACTGCTCCAATCAGTTGTCAAAATAAATCTATTCCCTTTTTAAATAATGTTTTAGGCTCTAGCTGCAGACAGTCATACTGCAACAGGAAACAATAACCCATCCGTTAAAATTGATGTCAGTATTGTTCTGTAGACTGGCAAAGCTGCATTTAAGAGCTTTGCCAAAAAGAAGCGT